AACAAAACCTTTTGAACATCTGAAAACTGAAATATATTAGGGAGGAATGCAATTGAGAACAGCGTTAAGAAGGGTAAGCCTCTTTCCTAAGCTTGTACAGCACCTCTAATTAGCCAACTTAGAGCTAATCTTCATCTCAATTGGATTACTCAAAGTTCTCAACCTAGGGTTACCCTAAGCTGCATACCCAAGTAATCAAGTGGCCATTTACGAAACTCCATAGCCCCAAGCTTGAGCCACTCTCTACACCTAAGCTTCTTGGAAATTAACCCCCACAATAGAGGTTTAGCTAAGGTTAACTTTCAACCTTTGACATGAGCTCAAAAAGATCAATGGTGCAGAAAAATGAAATAATACAAAAAGGCCAACAAAAGGCCAACAACAAACCAACCAACAAAAAACAAGCCCACAAAAAAGCCAGCCCAAGAAAAAGAGCCCAACCAAAAATTAACTTAACAAGAATGGACTTCAACCCAACCAAAAACTAACTTAACAAGAATGGACTTCAATTAAAAAAGATAAAGTCTTTACAAAGTCTTTAGAAACAGACGGCCAAAATGAGGTTTGAGGTATGAAACCTGTCAAGGGATCAAACCTCTCGATACCTCTTCATACCCTAAGAATTATGTTGTTTCTCCTGGTTTTATATTCATCCACTAGTTCATTAGCAATCAATACAGGGTTCCCGGTCTATTGGCAACAAAGGCTGATTGGTTGTGAGTTATGGAGTGGTAGAGGACTTACAATATGTTGGCAAGTACCTTGGCCACAAGTTTATAAATATCGGTGGCAATGTTTGGCCAAAAGTCTGAAACCTTTGTAGCTCTCATCTTCTTCAAAATAATCCATAGGTAGGTCTCATTAACACACTTGTTAAGAATGCCATTTTTAGAAAACTCTTACAACAACCTGAGAATATCTTCTTTTCTTATTCAAAAAAGGTACTTAGATCTTGGCTGACCTCTAAACAAATAGATATTCAATTACTGTTGGAGGGACAGAAACTTCTATCTACTTTTCTAGAATATAGCTTTAGAAAATATAGGATAAACCCACGCACAATGGCATTCTTCTCCAAGATACTTAGAACCTATTTGGTATGCAATCCAAATTCTGTTTCTTGTTTTCAGACTAGATTCAATAAATATCTGTTTGTCATATTGTTTTTTAAAACTATTTTCAAATTCCATGATCTAAATAGTGGAAATCATGAAAACAAAATTTTTAGTATTTTCAAATTTTGAATTGGAAACTTTAAAATGCAAAATTACATTAAAAAAATTAAATACTTTGATAAATTTACTATGACATGTTATAAACTCATTTCATTTTTGTTAAAATTATATTATGAATTATATAAAATTGTACAATAGTATTTCTACAAAATTTGTAACAAAAATATTAATAAAATAATTAATTAATATTATTTTAAATTGAACTAAATATTTAGTTGGTGACTACCACTAGTATACAGATATATTACTCAACACATGAACAGTTTTTATAACTCAACACATGAACAATTTTTTAAATTGAGATTCAATTCTCAAAGCTGCTGCCAAATATATATCCAAAAACACTAAAAATAAGGAATAAAACTCTATTTTTCATTGAATCCCTTATTTTCAAATTTCTATTTTCATATCACCAACCAAATGCACCCTTACTTGTCTTCATTTTGTATTTCCATGATCAGATTCTTCATTCTTCTAACATCAGCAAAATATTGGAAATGGTTTGTATTTTCGTCCCTTTCAATGATTCATCTAGCATTTTTGCCTCCACGATGATCCATCTAACTTTACATTTAGGCCTCTATCTACTTTCCTTTCGCAGCAAAGTAGGGGTGTTCACAGTATGGTTCGGCTCGATTTTAGGGTCAAACTGAAGCCGAACTAAATTATTTTAAAAGGCAAAAAGAACTGCATCGAACTGAACCACAAACCAACAGTTTGACGGTTAGGAAGTCGAGCATGCCGATTACATCTACTTGTCTTTGGTCCGTTTTTATGATTACCCAAATATACAATGCCAATGTTAAAGGCAACAAACAATTTAACATCACCGAATAATTCTCTTACCTAAGTCAGAAAGGTTGGCGTAGAAGACGGATTGTGAGAGGTTGTGACTAGGTAGAGGAAGAGGCGAAAGCAGCAGCGTGGTGATAGTTGACAGTGTTGGCGAGTGGGTAAGAATGTGGGTGGAACTTGGAGAAGAAAGATGGAAAAATAAAACCCTAACAAAACAACTTAACAATTAAGAAAGAAGGGATTGAATAAAAGGAGGGAAGAAAAAAGGAAGATAAAAATGTCAATCATGCCAAGGACATGATGAATGCGTGGTAAGTGAGATTTGGGGGATAATCGAGGATTGGGCCTTGAGGCCTGGTAAAGCTAACTGAAAGGCAAGCTTCAAAAGTAACATTAACAAAACAATAATATAAATACATATATTCAGTTCGGTGTTCGGTTTTTTAACCCCAAATGAAAACCAAACCGAATATTTTGATTCTAAAAATACAATGAACCAAACCAAACCATAAACCGAAAAATCAGTTTGGTTTCTTCGATTTTGTTGTGCACCCCTAGAGCAAAGTATCCTCGATAAGGGTGTCCTCTCCAGGAAAGGCCAAGACTTGTTCAATCTCATTAGCAAAACAAAACCAAAGAGAGAGAGAGACCCTTCAACCTTATGCTAAGCCTGAGCTTTTGAACAAAGCATAACCAGGTTCCCATGAACCTCTAGGTTCTTCCACCAAACTTTAAAATCTTTAAGGAAGTTGTTATGGTTCAGTCACGTTTTCTTGAACTTGAACATTACAAACAAGCAGAAAAATCTGCTGAGTCAACATCAATTCTAACGATAACCATGTCCCAAAAGGCGAGTTAAGTTTTCTACCTAAAGGCAAACCAAGGTATGTGAAAGGTAGAAAATCATTTTTGAAACCAAAGGTGATACTCAGTCATTCCACTTCTTTTTTTAACTATATATACGACAACAATAGACTTTTGGACATTGATTGAAAGACCAAAAGCTTGTTCAAAAATTTTCATGAGCTTCGTAATCTAGTGGGAAAACAAAGAACACAACAGTTTAAGCCTAATGCACAAGAGGAGGCTTTCAGCAAAACATTTTAGGTATTATCATTTTCCAAGGCAGCCAACCAAACAAAGAATCAAATTTTCTTTGAGATGCTGAGTTTCCACAAGGATGAGGAGAAAGAACGTGCCAAGGTGGGGGCAAGAAATGACTAACAAAAAAGATCCTAACGACTCAAGGAACCACAAGTATTGGACTCTTAGTCTCTACATCCATTGGAAACATCCACTAATTGAAGCAAATGGAATAGGGAAGACAACTCCTCGATCTCTCAATCAAGGATGGCTTCACAAAATTTGGAATCAAAGAAACAGGTGAAACCTGTGAACAAAAGATGGTGGATACCATAGAGTTTTTAGAGAGGGCTAGAAAGTAAAATGGGATAAAGAGGGAGACCACTTTCCACAAATTCCTAAAGGACCTTTAGAAGGTGGACTAGAATCTTAATACTTACTTATACCTTAATCCTTATTACCTTATACCACTGAGCCTAAGGTTCTAAAGCGAACCGCCACAACTAGTTCAAGAGAAGTCATAAGAGCCAAAAAGTGAAAAGGGCTTCAGTCTATCCATGTGAAGAGTCCATTTGAGAGAAGAATTTCCAAAAGGCTTCCCACTATCCACTTGTTGAACAAGTTAATGTATTCTTTTTATTCTGCCCTTTTGAATTTCAACAACCCATCTTTTAAACATGATTAAATCACCGATGAATCCAAAAACTTAACCTAATGAGTTAGGGTAAATTTAATCATGTATAGGATATATAATACTCCATCACTTGTAGGCTTGGAAATTTGCACAAACCCAACAAGTGAAAATCGATATTAAATGGGGAGGAAATGACAATTTAGAAGTTCGAACACAGGACCTCCTGCTCCATACTTTTTTTTTTTAATATGAAACAATATTTCATTAATGGTATGAAATATACAAAAGGCCCTGAAAAGGCAATTACAAGAGAGCTCTCCAAGTTGTAATAAGTTCATTTAGAGAGTAATTGTTGAAGGGGTAGAAACATTTCCACCAACCCAAAGCTAAAACAATAACTCTATCACAAAAAATTTCAAAAGAGAGGGTTTTGTCCTTGAACACCCTTCGATTCCTTTCTAACCAAATAGACCAAAGGAAGGCGCGAACGATTTGAACCCATAGGATAGCTTTGCCATTTCTGAAAGGGTGGTCCACCAGAATGCTGTCCAGAAGAATATGTGGTTGATAATGTAAGGTTGTAGTCCATCCAAAGGCTGAGAGGATATAGTTCCAAAAGCAAGTGGCAGAAGGGCACAGAAAAAATAAATGGCTTTGTGTCTCCGATACTCCAAAACAGAAGAGACAGCAATGTGGAGAAAGATAAATGTATGGGTGTTTCCTCTGAATTCTGTAATGAGTGTTTAGAGCTCCATGGCTAAGTTCCCAGCAGAAAAATTTGACTTTCTTGGGGCATTTACCTTGCCATAGATAGGGGTAGGGTGTAGGGGCCGGTTGTGTATTGTGAGTGTTGAGGAGGTGTGTGGGGGGGCGGGCGCACAATCCGGTTAAGCAAATTGTAGCCAATCCTCGACCTCCTGCTCCATACTATTTTAAACATGACTAAATCACTAATCACCTAAAGCTTAAGCTGATTGGTTAGGGTAAATTTAATCCTTTATATCTAACACCATCTAACCACATCGAAAGTTCCCCTAAAGGCCTAAACAAGAATTCTCGTGACAAACAATAGAGGAAGGTCTCTAAATTCCAACTAAGAATTATTTCAACTGCCAGATCGAGTGCTTAGCCAACACTACAAATAATTGGTTGAGCTAGGGATCAATAAAAATATTGAAAATAAATTAGAAACCATAAACAAAGAAAACTTTGACACTTATTTCCACAAAGGGACAGAATATACCAGCACCTACCTCGAAAAATATGCCTAAACTTCCATTCAACATCATGAAGATCCCTCGCAATTAGCTCTTGTGCTGGTGGCTGTTGCGTAAAATCCTGCAAGGCCATACCAAAGAAAGATGGCAGAATGATCCATCAGACCCAACACAATCATATAACAGAATAAACAAAATGTATGTACCAGTGGAGGAAAAACTTTCTCTGCAGCACGACGCGGTACAGAGAACCCTCCATGGGTACTTGTATCACTTGCTGTCAACGTTTTGCAAAAGTAATTTGTTGGCTGTCTACTCGGAATCCCCAACTCCATGGGTAGAAACGTATCCTTTTGCTCTTGCTGTGTGTATAAAATAATTACAGCTAAAGGATCGACAAATGTGGCGAGAAGAACTGAAAGAGAAACAGAGTTGAAAAGATATATACTGCAGTCAACGGCTGTAGTGTCATTTGTGCATACACTTCATCTGTTTCCACATCTGCCTGAAATATCACACATACAAATCCTGCCTAAGATTTTCCCTTGATATGTTAATGTAATTTCCTCATTTGTAGTTAAGGAGAGATTAATGGAATATTTACACATAAAAAAACCGTTGATTCATGGAAGGAATACTAAATACACTCAAATTACATGAAATATAGAGAACCCACATGCATCGTTACATTGTGCAGCTGACATATCAACTGGGGAGGTAGATTCGGGTAATTGGGTATATGCCCATCAACTTCTTTGTTCGTCGTGGCAGCAACCTACAGGCCAAATATTCAACAGAAAAATCCTTTCAATTTTGCAAATTTATGCAATGATAACTAATTCAAATATGCAGTTCCTCAACTTCTTTCCATACAAACAAAAAAAGAAATATAGAAAAGAAAAATCTGGCCGCAAAAATGTAAAAATAATAATAATAATAAACCATGGAACCTGTTCGCTATGACCCTGAGGGAAGTAGACAACCCGAGTCCCAGCAGTTGGGAGAGACACAAGGGGCCCCGCGCATGCATGCCATAGCTCTGAATTCAAGCACTTCTTTTCCCCTCCTATAATCATCATAATCATTTCCACACCATAATTAAAGTTCGGCACAGAAGAATAAAATTTATGGCGGGAGATGGGGGAACCTTAGCATT